AGGGAAATGGAAGAACAAAGCAGAGGAGAGAACAAGTAGGCAGGTTCGCATGGGCTAAGTGGGACAGAGGTAAATAATAATGCATACACAACCTTGGAACAACAGAGAGAGTAGTGAGGTTGGCCCAGGATTGGGCAGTGTTTTGTTCTGCTCTGCATAAGGTCACTAGGGATCAGTACCAACTCAATGGCACCTAACAACAACAACAACAACGGAGTTCTGGTGTGGTGCTGTGTAATGCACCAGACTGCAAAGCCATTTGAACTGCAAGGTTTGTGGTTCAAGCTCACCAGCTGCTCCTCAGAAATCCTAAAACAGAGTTGCTATGGGTCAGAATTGACTCGACAGCACTTAAAAACAACAACAATGGCCAATGGGGAGTCCTGGTGTGGCGCTGTGGGTTAATGTGCCAGACTGCAAAGCTGTTTGAACCGCAAGGTCAGCGGCTCAAACTCACCAGCTGCTCCTTGGAAAATCTATACAGGGTCACTATGGTTCATAATCAACTCAATGGCACTTAACAACAACAATAACAATGGCCAATGGACTCCTGATGTGACACTGTAGGATCAGCACTGGACTGCAAACCACAAGGTCGGCAGTTCAAACCCACCAGTTGCTCCTTAGAAACCTTATACAGTGTGTCTTTATGAGTAAGAACTGACTGTTGTTGTTGTTATGTGCCGTGGAGTCAGTTCCAACTCACAGCGACCCTGCATAGGGTTTCCGAGGCTGTAAATCTTTACAGGAGCAGAAAGCCTCATCTTTCTTCCATAGAACAGCTGGTAGTTTCCAACTGCTGACCATGAGATTAGCAGCCCGATTTGTAACCACTATGCTACCAGAGCTCCTTAAGAACTGACTAGACGGCACTTAATAATAACAATGGCCAATGAGTCCTAGAGTGGTACTGTAGGATAAGCACTGGAGCACAAGCTCGGTTTGAACCACAAGGTCGGTGATTCAAACACACCAGTCACTCCTTGGAAACCCTATGCATGGTTACTATAAGTCAGAACTGACTTGATGGCACTTAAAACAATAGTGTAAAATTATAACAATTATTTTTTCATTTATTGGCCACCTGAATGTCTTCTTTGCTGAAATGTCTGTTCATGTAATCTGTCCATTTTTAAATTGCATTAAAATGGAATTAGATTTAATTGGATTTAAATTGAAGAATATACCATGCTCATGGATAGGAAGATTTGTCTTTGTGAAACTTTCAATGCTACCCAGCGCAATCTACAGATATAATTATTTCAACATCATTTCTTTAAAGAGATGGAAAAACTAATCACCAATTTTATATGGAAAAGAGAGACCCAGAGTAAGCAGAGCACTACTAAACAAGAACAAAGTAAGAGACCTCTCACTTCCCAATCTCAAAACCTACCATATAGTCATGTAGTCAAAATATCCTGGTACAGGTACAATGACAGACACATAGACCAATGGAATAGATTGGGGATCCAGAAGTAAATCCACCCAATTCTGTACAACTGTCTTTGGCAAAGGACTGAAATATATTAAGTGGTGAAGAGATTGTTTCCTTTAACAAAGAATTCTGATAAAATTGGACATCCATTTGCATAAAAATGAAATGGGACCCATATCTTACAAAATTAATCCAATATAGATCAAATAACTAAATGTAAAATTTAGAACTATAAAGATAATCAATTTAAAAAAACAACAACAGGGACAAATGTAGGGCCCTAGTACATGACATAAATACACTATCAAACATAACTGAAAATACACAAACAGCAGAAGTCAAATTAGACAACTGGAGCCTCCTAAAAATTAGACACTTAATATACATCAAAAGATTTCACCAAAAGAGTAAAAAGAGAACCCACATATTGAGAAAAATTACTTGGCAATGACAAATCAGACAAGGGATTCGTTTCTAAAATTTATAGAAAATGTCAATACCTCAACCAGAAAAATACAAATAATCAAATGAAAAAAGGGCAGAGGACATAACATAGGCTATTAATATAATATATATATATAAAATATAATATAATAATCCTTTAGGTTCTGTTTACACAGCATCCTACAAATTTTGACGTGTTGTTTTAGTTTAGTTCAATTCAAAGAATTTCTAATTGCTGTTCTTGTTACGTGTCATCAGGTTGTTTCTGACTCTGCGACCCTGTATAGGGTTTTCAAGGAATGGCTGGTGGGCTTATTCTACTGAGCCATACCAGGATTCCAGTTTCTAATTTTTTTTGTTGTTGTTGTTTTTTTACTTGTTGTTGTTGTTCTTAAGTGTCGTCGAGTCGATTCCGACCCATAGCGACCCTGTACAGGGTTTCCAATGAGCAGCTGGTGAGCTTGAACCACTGACCTTGCAGTTCAAATGGTTTTGCAGTCTGGCACATTTACTTACAGGTTATTTATTTCTGTACTCCCGTAAAGATTTACACCCTCGGAAACCCTGTACAGGGTCGCTATGGGTCGGAACCGACTCGATGGCACTTCACAACAACAACAACTCAAGGTATATGAGGCTGTGGTTTGTGTACTCTATCAATTTTTTAATATAGGTTTTGAGAGTTCACAGAGTCTTTGGGAAAAATAATATTTTGGATCTTTGGCCTATGTCAAAGTAAAACAAGTCTTCTTAATATGACTAAACTACTTAACATAATAATATAAAAAATCCATTTTGTTTTCTGTTGTTAGAATGCAACTCTATAAAGAGGTGTCCGAGGTGTTGAGGAAGAAGGATAGAGCTGTAACTCCCTCTCCCAGTAACTGGTAACTGCCAAGCTGCTACAAATTGCTTTAGAGGGTCTTTGCAGTGGGGCCTGTTCTCATAGTCAGCACTCTCACTATTTCCCTGCCTTCCTGCCTACATACTCCATAGCTCACACTTCCAAAAAAAACCCAGGAACGATCTTCCTGGACATCATTTCAGATCTGTCTGCCCTCCCTTCCAGTTGGAAATCAGGATAACTTACTGAGGCTGCAATGTGCTGGGAGGTGGGCATCTTGAGTGGAACCTGTACTCACAACCAACATACTGCCAGGGAATTCTGATAGCAACAAATCAGACCTCACTGCAGGTCCATTTGGAGTGTGACATCTCCTCCTTCACCCAGTCACTGTCAACTGCCAGGCTGCTGTGAATTGCTACAGAAAACCCATAGCCAGCACTCTGCCTACCTGCTTGTGCACCCCATTTCTCAGGACTTCAAAGTCAACAGGACAGATCTCCCTGGAGGTCAGTTTGCATCTGTCTGTGACCCCCTCCACTTGGCACTGAGGACTGCTGATGGAGGCATCTTCAGTGGAGTCTGCCTACGCTATTAACATACTACCAATGAGACTCTGAAAGCAACCAGGCAGATCATCCTGAGGGTCCATTCAAAGCATGCCAGCTCCTTTCCTAACCACTTAAGTGTAGATTACTGGATTGACATGAGCTCCTACAGAATGTACCCCACAGTGGAGCTAAAAAGAAGACTACTTAAAGGAAGCCGCCCCACCAACCACCACAGCACCACTAAGAGCTCTATAATCAATAAGGCAGATCTCTTGAAGGTCCATCTGGAAGGTACAAGCACTACTTCCTCTTGATATGGATAAAAGTCTGCCTGTGCTTTCCTTGAATGCCAAATCAGCTATAAGTAGCCCTCAAGAGCAGGGAAGGAACCTTTTGGCAAAACCAGAGAGCAACACTCAGCTCCCACAGGGAGCACATTGGGTGTGCACATTCCAACTGGTTGCAGAAAACAAGCAGGGGAGGGAATAATAATGAGACACAGAGAGACAAAGAGAGGCAGGATTGTGTCCCCTGGTAGACAGATTCTTTGGTATTTGCTATGTTGACTGGAGTCCTGGTGTGGCACTGTGGACTAATGCGTCAGACTGCAAAGTTATTCGAACTACAAGGTCAGTGGTTCAAGCTCACCAGAGCTGCTCCTTAGAAACCTATACAGGGTCACTATGGGTAGGAATTGACTCGAAATCACTTAACGACATCTCACCTGAGTGACTGCACCCCTTGCTAGTTCTCTGGTATGTGAAGGAGACACTGAAAATTGAAAATGGTAATCTGGAACTTTCTAATTCTAATCAAATCCAAGAGGGAGAAGAAGCTATAAACAAAGGCTGAAGGCTCTGTTTACCTAAGAGTTTCTCAAAGAAAACAGTGTGGGCAAACCCACCAAGTATTGGGGAGAAGTAAGAAAGGGAGTCCTGGTGTGGCGCTGTGCGTTAATGCGCCAGACTGCAAAGCCGTTTAATCTGCAAGGTTGGTGGTTCAAGCTCACCAGCTGCTCCTTGGAAACCCTATACAGGGTCGCTATGGGTCGGAACCAACTCAATGGCACTTCACAACAACAATAAGAAAGGTAACACCCCCTGAAAATTCCAATGCTCCAACAAAAAATCATAAGACAAAGATAAGATGACTCATCTAAATGAACATGATTAAAAAAGTGAAATCTCAATTATGGAAGACTGAATGGAAAAATACAACACAATAATGTTAAACATAATCAGAGAACAAAAGAAAAACATAGACAACTATCTAAAAAAAAAAAACAACCAAAAAACCCAGAAAACAAAATGTATCAACAAAATGAGGGTTTTAAAAAAGATTGACTTACTAAAAAGAAACTAACAAAAATGTTTAAATGGAAAGAAAGCTGTTTTCAGCCTTAAATAAAATAACTCTATAAAGCAAAGACTCCTGACTACTGTTCTTTGGTGCTGTTGAGTCGGTTCTGACTCATAGTGACTCTGTGCATACCAGAACAAACACTGAATAATCCTGTGTTATTCTCACAACTGTTGTTATGTCTGAGCTCATTGTTGCCACCAAGGTGTCATTCCATCTTCTTGGGAGGGCTTCCTCTTTTTTGCTGACACTTCACTTTACCAAGCATAATGTCCTTCTCCAGGGACTTACTGAATAAATTATATAATAAATATATTGAAGCTATGTGTAGGTATAATATGTGTTTATGTACTCTTTTACTAACCTTGAGTAAATAGTTGAGCCAACACCATCTTCTTGATGTGATACCAACAATCCCATTATCAGGGATATTTTCATTTCTTCCAAGTCTTGTAAATGTATTAAAATCCTTTAGGTAAAGAATATCATTTATTAAAAAAAATATTTTATCCTCTAATAGGCACACATCTGTTACACTGTGTCTTTCAGCATCATTCAGAATGCCTGGGGGCACTCTGATTTTTGTCCAAGTATGAAATGAATCATTTGTTTGAAAGGTTTCCTTGTCAGTTACCACAATAGCAGATGAAGGGACACACTCACACCAGTCAATCATTACTTGGCTACCTCTTGGTGAAGACAGTGGTAAATCACCAGGAATCTCAGGTATAGTCAGCAAAGGAAGAGTCAGCAGAAAACGAAACTGTGCAATAAAGCAATCTTGAAAAGCCACATTGTTTCCTTTAAGATCCTTAATCACATCATCTTTTCTCATTGGTATTGATATTTTCCAGACCCTAAGAAGAGAAAAGTTTAAAATAAAAATAAAACCATTTATTTCTCCTCTGATCTACCATGCATAATGTTGGTATTTAACATATTTTTTAAGATTAACTTTTACTTTATTAACATAAATGTTGTTGTTGTTGTCAGGTGCCATCGAGTCGGAACTGACTCATAGTGACCCCATGCACAGCAGAACGAAACAAT